GGGGAGAGTAACGTTCTTCTCGAAGGAGTCGCCGACCTTGCTGAGCTTCTCCGACTTGGTCCAGTTGTCGAAGGTGCCGGTGACATAGACCTCTTCGGCGGGATGGCCCCTGCAAGTACGAAAAAGAGCGTGGTCAGCCAGGTGTGTCGATCGAGCCCAGATTTGCGCCAGGTTCCAGCTCGAGCGGTCGGCTCGTGTTCAGACGGCGGCAGGCAGTGGCTCGGGTGTGAGGGCGCGAGAGCCAATGCGCCGTTGGGTTTGAGGCCGGCGAACGAAGGTTTGCGTCGTGCATGTGGCATGAGCAAAATGGCATTCCAGCGCTGGGCGAGTTGCGCGCATGCGCACAAGCCCGTCGAGCTTCGTGCCAGGCGCGAAGCTTCCCCCGGAGCACGCACGAGCAGCTCCAATTGTCCGTTCGCCTTGCCAATGGAGTAGGCCTTGCCAATGGAGCAGGAGGAAGAGGGGGGTGGAGGAGGGAGGGAGGGAGGGGGAGGGGCGCAAAGGGTGAAACATACCACGTGAATTTGAAGGTACCACCAGTCATTTTGATCTCTGTGCAGTGCAGACTCGGTCTCTGTGCGAAGGATTCGAATTGGAATTGGTGATGCTTCTGCTTCGTACGTGCGCGTGCGTTGAGTTCTGCGGCGGACGCAAGTTGGGAAAAAAAGGGTTGGAAAAAAGGTCCGAGAGAAATCAATGGAAGGGGTCGCGGTCGTTGAGCGCTGAGTGAGCTGAGCTGAGCTGGTTAGGAATCGATGTCGTAAGGCCCGCAAGGCAAATTAGCTACCCTACCCCCACTAGGTTGGGTGGCGATCAGCTCGTTGGTCGCGAATGGCAGCTGGGCCTGTCGGCAGCGGTAGCGTGCCCCGGATCCAGGTCTGGTGCCTACCTAGAATGGCTAATAAAAGGAATGCGCGAGGGTCTCGTTCGATAGAGTAAGGTCCCGTACGTAAGTACGTAGTAGGTAAGGGCACCACGGTTGGATTGGTGTCTCGTGTTGAAACGACAAACAAAGGCTTCGTGGTCGTTCAAAAGAGTCAAAAATATGGATAGAGGTGGAAAAGGTGGTGGGAAGTAGGTAGGGGAAGGTAGGAAGGAAAGTCCCGAAATGCACAAACACGAGGGGTTTCGGGGGGTCCTGGTCCCTACTTATTGTGGGGGGAATGGTGGTTAAGGGGGGTACTTTTGATCCAAAGGGGAAGTCGGTGCGGGTTCCAGGTTGGGTGCGGGCCTGGTTTTGAGGTCCGGGTTGGGGTCAATTGTCCGCCCGCGTTAGACGAGAATGAGAGACCGAGAGACGAGAGACGAAAGGATTGAAAGATGAGAGACGAGAGACGAGAGACGAGAGATTGGAGGTGGTGAGCGCGACGAGGGAAGCCAATGGGTCCGTTTCGTTTCCAGGCCGGACAAAGCACGGCAAGGCCAGTCGAGACGAGTCGACGACCAGGTCGCCTTCCTCCTTCTCAGCAAAAAATCAGAAGGCTGGGGGTTGGGTTGCGACTTGCGCCTGCCTATCGGTGAGCGCTTGCCTCGAACAGCAGAGCAGCGATATGGGACACACAGGTGGCTGCTGCTGCTACCTTGGCTACATAGGTAGCCACCTAGCTAGGTACCGTAGCAAGTGTAGGTGCCTACCTTAGGTACCTAGGTAATGTAGACACCGTACAGCCTGGGGGGCGTGGGGTGGCCTGGTGCCGTTCGGCAGGCCGTGGACATGGACCGACTCTGGCGCTAAAGCCCCAGCAAAACTTCAAGCTAGATAGGTACCTACCTTGGGTACCGTGCCGTGCCGTACCTACCTACTTGGACGCGCACAGCCAAGGTAGGTACCCAGGTAGGTAGCTAGACCTAGAGAAGCTCACCCTCGGCGTCGTCACCGCCCGCCGCGCAACTTCCTTTCTCACCTCATGCATGACGTACATCGGTCTGGCCAGCCAAGACGCATGTGCATCATGCAAGAGACCAAGCACGCCATGCACCTATCCGGCCCAGCCCTCTCTACCCGCCACGATCATGTTCCTATCAGTGTTATGCACCTCACCAGCCTCGCTCTGCTCTATTCTGTGTTTCCACGAAAGGGGGAAACCCATTGATTGCCCTCGCGGATCGTAAACTGATAAGAGCTTCTTCTGGCAGTTGGAGTTGAAGAAGCAGACCCACAAGGTTTTGGTGTACGAGAAGCAGATTACTTTATGTAGCCCGTCCGTCTACTCATCATGTACCTATCCCGCAACACTTTCCCAGTATCTTCGTGCCCGCCCTAATTCATCCCATCCATGCATGCTAGCCGCCCCTCAATGCACCGTACAAATACATCCATCACCAGACCCCTCGCTCGCTCCGTTTTCGAATTCTTTGCAATCCCGTCTTGTGCTGCATCCGCTTTCTCGTAATCACGCCCATTGAACGCCTTCTTCCAACTTTCTGAGCACCCGAACCGCATCCACGAACAACCGACTGCGGTTCCCAATGCAGTCGGCCTCCAGCCACGACCTCGCCAGTTCGACCACCTTCGTCGAGTCCTGCAGATTGCGAATCTTCATAACGTCGTCCTCGCCCATGCGGGCAACGGCCCTCACCCAGGCCAGCGTCGCTGCCTCGCCAGCCCCTTCGCGCACCATTGTCGCGCCTTCCAGCTCGTCGGCCGAGGCCCCGTGGCCAAAGGCCCAGCAGATGAGGGCGCAGACGTACATGCCCCAGTAGTCTGATACGTCGTCCCGCCACGCCCGCGGCCTTTGCGTGTCCCAGATATCCATGTTGTCTGCATCTTCGTCATCTTCGTCCGCGTCCCACCGGTTGCCTTGCGCCGTGAAGGCCTCCATCGCTCGACAGGCGAAGATGACTGATGTTGCCGCCTCGCTCGAAGAGCTCCACTGCCGGAGCCTCTTCTTGTGCTCCGCGAACGAAGACGCCTCCATCAGCTTTTGACTGAACACCCAGCTCTCGCCGGAAACCGCCAGGGAGGTCATTGTAGCGGCGGCGTGATGGAAGCGCAAGGTACGTGTTTGGCGACCGGGCAGTCCGGGAAAAAGCCCCGCCATGCGGCTCGGAATCGCTCGGTGCTGCCCGAACCCTGAGAATTGGAGCCGGATGGCCTCGGAACGCCAGGATGATTGGAACCTGTCGAAACAGCGAGGGTGTCTGAATCCGTGCAATCCGGTCAGAGAGCCCGGGGTTGATCATTTGGGAGCGGCGGTTAGTATGCTCATGATGTTTTCCTTGTTCGCCACCATGGCCGGACCAGGCATCCGCGCTCATTAGCTTCCCAAAAGCTCGTTCGGTCTGGCCCGAAGGGGGA